TGTTGGCATTTTTTTCATCACCAAACTTGATACAACCTTCAGTGCTGGTGGGGGGTTTTCCTCCCTTTAAATAACCCCCGGCTCCCCCTGCCAGTGTTGGTGGGGGTGTGGTTTTCTACTGGTGGCCGGGGCATACTGTCATAGGCATTCATGCAGAAAGAATAGTTGTTCTTTGGTGGAGATTTGCCTACGTGCAAATTTCTCCCATTTACGCGCTTTCTGAAGCATTCAACGCCCATATGCGGTTTCAATAGAAGGGAATAGCATGATAGTATGCCCTGCCCACCAGTGGAAAACCACACACCATTAACACTGGCAGGGCAAGCTACTGCATATAAACAGGGAGCAAACCCTACCCTCATTCACACTGATGATGTTACCTACTTAGGTAATGAAACGTCTGCAAGCAAACAACCAAGCTCAGAGAGCACCAAGGACTCCACATGTTTATAGGTTTCAGGAGATGCTGGTGGTTACAAACAGAAGCTTGGAGTCCTTCTTTGTAATTCTGGTTCAGTAATGCCCTAAGTTAATGTCTAGTCAGGTCATTATTCAGGATGTGTATCAAACTGTGAAACACTGCCAAGTGTGGACTGCACAACTTTGCTTCCACTATTACACAGTTCCTAATAGCATCTGTGGAGCTTGCGCAGAGGAGTTTCTGAATTTCCACAGAGAGAGACAGTTTATTGTGGCTAAGGAGCTGGGCTAGAAACCAGGAGACCATGAGTTCTAGTGGCTCCTTAAGTATGGAGCCAGCTGGGGGACTTTGGGCCAGTCTCTCTCTTTCAGCCCAATCCACCTCGTAGGGTTGCGGTTGTGGGGAGCGTAGGAGATGGGAGCACTAAGTATGTATTCCATATTTAGTTGACCAAAAATAAAGGCAGGATTTTAAAATTGATGATGGTGATGATGATGACAGTCATGATAACGATAATCCAACTCTCAAAGGTTTGCCTCAGAATGTGATTCAGTTGGCGCTGTCGATAAAATATTTTAAATGTTAACATTCACAACTGATTAGTTGGAAAAAAGAACAAAGACATATTTATGCGGATGGGGTGAAGAAAGGTGGTTTACTTGGCAGTTCTGGAAATCAGCAACCTGGTTGAGGCTTAACCTGTGTTTCATTCACACAGGTGCAAACCCGCAGTTCAGATGAGCCAATGACAACGTTTGTTGTGTGTAACGAATGTGGAAACCGCTGGAAGGTAAGCCATCTTTATGCCTTTGGGGCCAGCCTGGATGTGATATGTGGCCCTGACATTCTGTTTCTGGCTTGAGTTGAGCACTCGGTGGAGGAATTCTCGATCATTTCCATGTCACTTGTCTGTCCCCTCAATGTTTATTTTTTTTTCCTCATTCCCTTTCTGTGCACAAAGAATAAAGGGGCTTCAGGACAACAAGTTTTGACATAAGAATGGGAAGAGAAAGGAATAAGGAGTCTTCCCCCCTCACCCCCATTACCTCCACTCCTCTGCTGAATCAGCAGTCCGTTTTGTTTTTCAGTCTTAAAAAAAAAAAAAAGAAAAGAAATCTGGGAAGTACAGTACATGTAAATGTTAGCCCTGCTCTGAAGCCATGCCTGAGAAACCACACTTTAGTTATTATAGAGAGAAAACTGTAGTGTATTGATGTACAAATGCCAGAATCAAAATTCTCCAGGGTTGGCTGATATCCACAGGCAAGTCTTACCTGCAGACTATTACAATAGGGCAGTGTTTCTCAACCTTGGCAGCTTGAAGATGTGTGGACTTCAACTCCCAGAATT